TCCCGCGGGAAGTTCTCGCTCGCCGCGGGGAGATACCAGCGGAGGGACCGGGGCCGTTCGTCTGGGCTGAGCTTGCGTGCGTGTCTGGCACTGACAGCGTTTTATTGTATTTATTAGATGATTGCTGTTCCTTCTTCCTTGAGTCCGTCTTCCCTCTTCGGGTCTTTTGCACAGAGAGAGGCGTGTTGAACCCAGAACAGCTCTGGGTATTGATAGTAGAAATGATGCTGATGTTAGAGATGAGAAAGGGCCGTGACAGGGCAGGGTGCCAGATAATCTCCAGGCTCCCCTTCCCGGGAAAGGTTGCATCAGGGGGTCTCTCGAGGTCCCTTCTAACCAGGGTTGTGCCCTGAAACTCCTCACCTTCCTCCTGAGACGGCCTTCCTCCAGCCGGCTCCCTGCGTTCCCTCCCCATGGCAGAGCTGTGAGAGTCTCTCTCTTGGTGCTCTCACTAGGGGATGCCTGATGGCTTTTCCCAAGTTGGTGCCTCCAGAGGCTTTCCCACTTCCTACGTGGCAAGTGTTTCCCCCACCTCCTCAGACATTTCAGTTCAGCTGTTGGGTGCACAATAAATACTGGGTTTATTTCCTGCACCCAGGAGGTTTACCTTGCTTTTTTTCGTTGGATTCCCTTGTCAGCTTGAAGATGGGCGTAGCTGATCAGGTTTTTAATTAGCCTTGCTCTTGGGTTGAGTCTTTTTAAATTGATCCTTCATCTTACATCTTAACAGCACTTCGCTCTTAAAAACTATTTTCAACGTTGATTTTTTTTTCTAGGGAGAGTTTTGTGTGTTTTATGGTGAAACCATGTATGTAGTGTTACAGGGGTGGGGGGATGGTAGCAATTTTGTAGCTTTTCTCACCGCATACTTTAACATACTATGCTCTGCTTTTTTTAAGATCAAGTGTGTGTCCTATTAATTGTGATCCTAACAAGGTAGTTCATGTTGCATGGGAACAATACCCATCACAAACTATTTTCCTAAAAATAAAAGAGCAGTCTGACTATCTGCTGAGATCCTTCTAGTGTGTGAGTTTGTTTATTTAATTTTGCTTTCATACACAGTATTTTCAGGTGGCAGTAGTATTGTCTACAAGTACACCTGTACAGCACATCTGGAAACTTTGTGGGGGTATTTTGGAAGACTTTGTCAAGTTATTATTGTTTACTTAACTTCCTTCATCAGAACTGATGGGACCTTAAACCTCTGGCATCTTTTTAGCTACATACCTCTTCTGATTTCTTTTTAATCAGATAAAGGGCAGGACATTACGGGATGTCAGTTATTAGCTTCTTGTAGTCATTTGAAAGATGAGATACTTCCTAATTTGAAAAGTAATTAGTGAAAGAGGGTAACAGTCACCCTCCCTCTGAACAGGTAACACTTCTTCAGTATTTTCATACTTTTCTGATGTTACTTGTATTTCAGATTATAATTTTTACTGAGAAGGATGAGAGTGCAGTTGCTGAATGTGTTGTGGCATAAAAGCTTCTCTCCTTCCTGTTGGTGTGAAAAGTGTAACTTGATAATTTGGGCAAACAGTGACTCAGTGACATCTTGTGGCATCTGTGTTTGAGTTTGGCTTTTTTTTTGGGGGGGTGCCGCTTTGAAGTGAGCAAGTCATCCAAAGTACAGAAATTTGAAAACTGGCTGTTGATGAATGTTTCAGCAGTTTTTGTAGTGAGTTTTTTTTTCCTTTTCCTTTCAGCCTGTAGTCTGTGGGCTCCTATGAAAGGTATTTAAAAAGTCTGTGGTCAGCAGGCTGGAGCGCATTGTACAAACTTTAAAACTCCATTGGAAAAACTTTTGTTTGACCTCTTTCGGCTTGCAAACTTGAAAAAACCAACCCCACCCACCAGCAGTGTTGCTACAGAGGAGGGTAAGAAATCTGGGTGCTGTGCTTTGTGACCATGCATCAGACCCGGTTTCTGACCCCTGCAGGCAGTCGGTGCACCCCTGAGAGCAGAATGGCTGCTGCTGGCGGTAACTGGTTTCCTTGTGCAGCTGTGGGTGGGTGACGTCCAGCCCTGAGTGAGAACCAGCAGTTGGATTTATCTGTCAAGGATGATCCCTACTGTATGTTAACCATACAAAAAACTGAAAATGAAAGGTTTTGAATCATTTTTGTAACCTCTCCATTTCCGCCTGCCCCTATACCATCACCTTTTCCTGTCTTTGCTTCTAATGTGTTGAGGCTTGGTCAGCATGGTTGTTAATTATCTGTTGGATACCAGCTATCCTATGTTAGCTGGGTACAGTAAAAGAGGGAATTGCTCATACTTATAGTATTTTAACATGGGAAATAAAAGTATGCTCTATGTGAATTTGCTTGAATTTCCCAGAGTGTAAATCATCTCCCTCTTGACGAAGCACTGCTAGGTTGACAGAGCAGAAGAATGACATCTGCTGTTCAGAAGTCAGGAATTTTATGCTCTACCAAATGTACAGCATTATGCACATGATACTGCATCTCATTTTCACATCTGTAGTAAACATTCATGAAAGATGGATTCCTTCATGTTCAGTAAAATCATGTTCGTACCCATAAAATCAGAAACTTATTTTATTATCAACTCAAATAACTGTGCCAAACCAGGTGTTTCCTGGAGAACAGCATGTGCAGATACATTTCCATGTTAATGTACTTACAGAGCTGGTTTGCATAGCTTTCCTCTAGACTGCATGCATATGTGTATCCATGATAGAAAGTTAAACAGTTTTTATTTTTAAACTGATGAGTTTAAAAATATCAATACCAATATTGCAGCTGAGGTAATGTTTTGGATGGAAGATCCTTTGGTGTGCTTCATCTTTTTCCTCTTACTTTTCCCTTTCCTTCTGTTGAATATAAAAATATATTCCCAATTAACATAAATTATTTAAGGACAAACAACAGTAGGTTTTCTAAAGAGAAAGCTGTATTGAATTCAAACATGGTGTAGTGAAATCGACGCTTTCTTGCCTGCTTGTTTTTAATAGGTGAAGACTGCAGAAGAGTCACTGAGGCTGCTGGACTTGTGTACTCGGTAGGTGTATTGGCATTCCTTTAACATGGTTTTACATCTGTGCTTTATGCTGCATGGTGAAGTAATCTGTCTTCCTTTGAACAATATAGTTGCTTTACCTCTAAAAATTTTCAAGCTAAACAGCCAGTTCCATCTATTTATCCTGTAGTTAAATTCCAGTTCAAGTTGTTACTGCTGATAACATGGACTACTTTCTCTATTTGTGACAGCTAGGAGGAAAATGCCTATTATTTTATTCAAGTAGCACTTAGAATGATGCACTATGTCTTGCAGTGCTATGTTTAGTAATTTTTCCATGTTTTCGAGTGTACCAACTAATACTCCTACAGTGGACAACAGGATATCGGTGACTTCGTGATGGGTTCTCAGATGCCTTTTTTTTTTTTTAATAGAGTATTTTGTTCCAGTAAGCAGAAGTGAATAAATTATCCTGTGTTTTGCTGATGTGGCAGTGCTGATCATGCCCATTTCCACCTCTAATTTTTGCCACTCTGGAGATCTGTGATTCTTGCTTTTTAGGGTATCTAATTAAGGCAAGGTGACTCTGTGGTTCTTGGGCACTCCTCTTAGGAAGGCACAGTAGGAGAACAGCCTGCGCAAGGTCTATGCATTTCTGCAGTTTTTAGCTTTGTATTGGAAATCTGTGTGTGTGTGTGTGTGTGTGTTTTAGTCTACTGCATTTTTATTTTTTTTATTTTGAAACAAAAATGCATGGTTCCTCCGCCTGCCTTTGCTTTTTCTGCCGACCTCACCTCAGCAATCCATGGCCCCATGGGTGCCCACCGGAGCTGTGCTGCATGTGTCTGCCCTGTAACTGAGACTTCCTTAGGCAAGAAACTCAGGCCTGTGCAGCTGTGCACATGGGGTTTTTTTGTTTGTTTTGGGTTGTTTGGGGTTTTCTTTGGTTTTTCTTTTTGGTGTGTGTATGTACATGAAGAGGCAACATTTTCAGGAAGCCACATTTTACTCTTAGGCCCATATATACCCTGTCCTCAGATGCAAACAAATTCTTAAAACTTTTCAAAAGAACAAGTACGTTTGAAACCTTCACCAGTCTGGCGGTATTGGGCATTCCCCTCTGAGAAAGAGGAAGACCGGTTATGTCTTAAATTGAATTTTGCGCGGGTTGCGTGTGCACGCTTAGGTATATGCAACCTGTTGAAGGTCTGAAGCACTGGACATACAGTGGAATCACTCTTGTACCTGCTAACTGCCGGCATCAGCTCCTCCCCCCTGCTTACAGTCTATGTCTGCTTGTAAACCCTTTGAGAGTTGCTATCATTTAAGAATTTTTAAATACATCACAACCTGTGGTGCAGTGTAACATGTCTATTTTAATTTGCAGGTTTCCACACTGTTGTGATTCTTTGGGTTTGTTTATTTTTCTTGAAATGGTAGGGCTAGGAAACAGCTGCAGAGGGATGAAGTCTCCACCTCTCCTTGTGGCTGCACTCGTGGCATGCATCGTTGTTTTGGGTTTCAATTACTGGTTTGCAAGTTCTCGCAGTGTGGATCTACAGGTAACTTTCCAATTGCTCTGCGTGTTGTCTTGTACTTGTGTGTTTAATAAACGTAGTCCACATCAATAGGGACACTTCGCCTGATTTGGTGGGCCTGGAGCTTCAGCTTTGTTTTAGGAATTTTCAGAAATATTACAGGTATTGCTTATCAGTAGTGGGAGATGGAGGGAATGGGTGAAACATCTGTTTGTAGGTGAGGGGGGCCCAAAACTTGGATACCAGTTTGTGTGGTACTTCTTACTGCTGCTTACACAAGGTGTTCAGCTGTCTTGTGCTGTTTCAGTTCACAGATGTGGCAAATACCATCTTCTGTTTGTCTTCCTAACTGTACATTGAGACTGGCCCTCCATTTTTAATCTGAGTGTGCATCTGCAATTTGCTCATCTTCCTAGATTTTTTCTTCCTTACAACACCTGTTAAGAATCTATTATTTGCTTTCCCACCAAGTGCAGGGAAATCTAGCTTGTTCAGAAACAGTGTCTAAAAATCTGAATTTGTGTGTCTTAGAAACCTTTACTACAGAGGACACACAACTCACATGGAATAATTACCCTGTCTGCTGTTTTTCTAATAGTAACTGTATTTTTCGTGACTGTTTAGCTTGGGTTTTAATCCTTTCTGGAGCGTACATTCTGTAGTTGAGTACGTGAATAAAATTTCTGGTTTGTGACAGTGTGTGCAGGGTGGTTCTTTCTTTTTTCTTTTAACAAACAAACCTAAAAACTAACAGCATGGTGATTAAACGTGGCTGATGAACGCTCCATCGAATCAGCTTTGTAATTGGGGTGAATTTTGATGCTGAATTGACAGCTGTGGGAATTGAACTCCTGTTTCATCTCAGAGCATTCACTGTTCAAACAGGACAGGAGTCTCTGGCCTTGTGGTATGTTGTAGCTTTTCCTTGGTGGAGAGTATGATCCCCTGTCTCCTGGTCATCCCTTGTTCTCCCTTTAGTCAGTGGCCTCAGGATGGTGGCTACCAGCAAGCAGTAACTGTGTCAGCACTGCTGAAGCTTTGCTGCACGGCCATGAGGCAGCTGATAGTGAGGAAAATACACCACCATCCTAGCTTATTCCTGATCTCAACAACCCGGAGACATAAGGTCCTCTTTACTGTTACTGATTTACTGTATTATCTTGTACACTTCTCCCAGAGTTAGCCCAGAATTCGTTTCACTTATGTGTAGTCATGCACTCTGAATGAAATAAAAGCATAGCTGAATGGGGCTTCTAAAGCACTCTGTCAGACTGTTCTTTTGTTGGCATGACTTTGCGGCTATTATGACTGAAATGGAATAAGTAAGTGCCTTCTTTTGCTCTTCCAACTGAACTGCAAGTGTTTCCTGCTCTCCCCCACCTCCACTCCTTTCTCTCACTTTCTGTGGCAGAGTATTTCGTCCATTTTCTTGGAGTCTTGGAAGATGCACAGTTTTCATCGTATCTAATTTTTAATCCACCTGGAATTCACAGGTCTTTATACCTGGGTAAATTCAGTTGTTATTTACCCCCCACCCCAATGTGTCTTTGTACTCATCCTTGCTGCTGAAGAGCTGTTTTAACCCAAATGTTGAGAAACAATGTCCTACAAAACTAAATTTGACCTTATACTTCAGATGTAGACTGTAATTTTTTTTGTTTTTTTTTTTTTGACAGACGTTGTTTGGGTTTTTTAAGATCAGTTACTGAGGCAGCTTTACATTTGTCCTACCTCTAACTGAAATTTTGGTAGTCTCTGCAGAATATGCTGTACTTGTAATTTATGTAAAAATGGGATCTGTGTGTGGCAGGTATCACTGCCTGACACAATACTTTGATGACATTAGCATTGATAGTTCTGTGAAATTTGGTATTCCTTGAGTGTCTTTGAGAAGAGTCTGGCAGGGGGGTAGCATATCTATTTGTTTTGGCTAATTTGCTCTTCCTCAGGTTCGGATCATGGATCTGGAAGGCAAAGTCCAGAGGGCGGCAGCGGAGAGGGGTGCTGTGGAGCTCAAAAAGAATGAATTCCAAGGGGAACTGGAGAAGCAGCGGCAGCAGATTGACAAAATCCAGTCCTTGCACAGCTTTCAGATGGAAAACGCCAACAGAGTACATCAGGAAGAGAAGGTAAGGCCTTTTCTAGGCACAGAGTTCTGTGAGGCTGTGGCTTACCAAGACATTCTCTGCAACAGAAGTAGATTTCTCAAATGTTCCATCTGATGGACGTGCAGTCACTGTTGGTGTGGAGAACACTTAGTTTGTTTTATTGTGTGGTATTTAGGAAATGGACATTGACTGCACATCCTAGGATTCGTTGTATAATGTGGAAAAATCAGAGGCTGCAAGTAACACCACTTCTACATAAAACCTCTACTCCCTGTATAAATAAGCGTTAGGAAACATTGGTTGGCCTCAGGCTTTGTTTCTTTTATACTAATGTTTTAAAACTTTAAAAAAAAAAAAAAAAGAAGCTGCACCAACAGATATATTTGTGTTCCCAAGTATATTTATATATATTTGCAGGCATAGGTGGTTGATGTTTATTTCTAAATGCATTACAAATTTTGTGACTGAGCTGTCATGGCAGTGCTCCTGACAATGCAGTATCGCCAAAGGGATGGAAATCCTTTGTGAAGAACATAAATGTACCTGCTTAAGTAGCAGGATGTATGATTGCTGCCGAGTGGTATCCTGCAAACTGTTTTGCTATGTATTTTCCTCATGTTGCTGGTACCACCTTGGATGTGCCTGTTAGTCATTAATATCACTTTGCTTGCTGTTGACAGAAGTATTTAGCTGAGAGTATTTGTTCTGGGTTTATTGCCTCTCTTTTAGAGTCGCTTGATTGAAGTTTAGCTGAAGGTCAGCTTTTCAGTACTGTTATTTTCAGCAGAGTGGGCAGGCACAGCTGATGATGGTAATAGGTACTCTTCAGGTAAAGGGTTCACCATTAGGTGATGGTTTGCAGCTCAAACCTTGGGTTGCGTGAATCGAGTATCACCAGCATAATCTTTGAACATCTTGGAGGAAGAAAAATTGAATAAAAATGGAAGGTGGAATTGTTTCACTAATATACACGTCAATGGCATGTATTTTTAATTATTTTGAAATCATTTTTATCCAAGGTCTTCAAAGAAATAATAAACCAATCCTTTTTATCTCTTTTGAGACAAACATGTTTCTTCGATGATTTCTCTCTTCTCTTTGGATTCAGTCTTTGTACATGCTTTAGAAAAGGTGAGGTACAGTTTGTCTATTTTTAATTTTTTTTAATGTATGTATTTATTAAAAAGTACCCCAGGATAATCAGACAATGTTCAAGTGAGTAATCAGTCGTCTTGTTACCTCTGCCCCTAATAGTAGGTGTTGCTACTGAGTACTGTGGAGAATTGTTTAGATTTACCATCCTCTGGGAAGCTACCCCAGTTTACATGTTGGTGAAACCCATTGTTCCGTTTTGGGGTCATCTTGCCTTCCAGTTCTGTCCTGCAAGGGGTGAATGCACACGCATAAGTTAAAAACAACCTAGCAAAAAAAACAAAACAAAACAAAACATAAGAAGACAAACAGAACTGAGTATTTGTTTAAGAAGCCTGGTGGGTGAAATGTTGCTTCTGCCAAGCATGATGTACAACTTTTCTGCTTTCTCTTTTTGTATCTAGAGGTCATGTGTGAGCTCTTGACAACTAAATCTGGCATCTATGCCTGGAAAAGTGGTGGTAAATAGTTTACAAAACCCGAACTGGTGTGGGCGTGGGGGTCACTATGGTAGTTTGGTGAGGAATCAGAGCGGCTTCTGGAGAAGGAAATCTTGTTCCTGAAGTCTCATGTAGTTTCCCTCTGAAAGAGTCAGGGACAAGGATGAGGAAGACTAATGGCAGTGTTCACACCTGGAATTGTGAAAGGCTACACGTGCATGGCTTCTAGAGAAATTATGCAACTATGTGGTAAGATGGCATTATCACAGGGGTGAATAAGGCAAAAGTTGCAAAACAGCTTAGAAATAAACTGAGTGGGTTGTTGTACTGTGGGGAGATCACCAGTGGAGTTCCGGAGTGTTGAGAAAGGCATGCAGAGGAGAGCAAGGAGCATAACCAGAGCTGTGTGGTAGTTTCTCTACAGGAATCCATGGTGTAGGTTACAGGTTGGACAAGAGCCAGCTGAGGAGATCCTCCAGGATACCGAATGGTGTGGAAAGTGCTTGTGGCTGGGGGGGGGAAAAAAGTTGTTCTCCATCCCTTGACAGGCATCACATGCAGTCAGCAAGTTGAGACTGGGCAGAAGAAGTGGTCTTCATGCAGTAGTTGGTGAAGCTGCAAGTGTGTGACTTCCATAATGCCCAGTTGCAGTGGGTCTGTGTGGTTTAAAAAGCAAGAGAAGACTGCTTTCGAGTGCTTTTTCTGTGTGTGTATATCCATGTATGAGTATGAATTGTATATTCACGTGTGTCCGTTCATATTTGTATACACACACCAAGGCCCACACGTTTCTCAGCTCTGTGGATTCCAGTGGAGTCCAGGATTGCTGCAAGGCAAATAATGAATTAACTCTTCCTTCAGTTCAGTGACCAAGTTTCCTAGAACTTTATTTACCTCATGCGGATTGGCAGCAAGTATTTACCTTGTTCAGGAAAGATGAATGCAAATGCAAACCCTGAATCTCAACTCGTTTTACAGGTAATACAAATGGTATAAATAACTAGACAGATCTTTGAGTGATAAACAGGATTTTGTTTAGTTCTTATTGTTGTTCTTAAAGAAAAACTCGCATGCTTTCAGTGGATGTTTAGGGAGTGAATGGTTTGTCTCAAAAAAACCCCTCTTTTTCAGGGAGAAATGATGATTCTTCTGGTTACAAAATAAATCTATACGGGACCAACCTTTCACGATCTAGACTCCTTACCAAAAGCAACTCTCAACATTTGAAACTGATCTTAATTGCAGTTCTTTTAGACTCATTGTGTGTTATTACCCTGCTGATAAAATACAAAATAATTTTGCCATTGATTTAGATCTGTACCAAACTAATACACCAATAAGATACTTGTAACGTTACAGTCATGCAAACTGGCAATGTGGTAACCACTTTGAGTTAGCTCTGTTGTCTTTTCTAGTAGAACTGTTTCTGTGCTACTTTAAGGATGAGGGCATAGAAGGTAGGAGGTAGTCAGAGTCTGAAATACCCTGTGGGCTCACCGTTCCCTAAGGCAGTGTAATCCTGGGAAATTGCTGTCATAATTATTCTCTTACGTCTGAATATGTATAAAAAACTTCCGTCATCAGTTTGCTTTTAAAAAATCTGCTTGAAATTTTAAGGATTAATGTAGTTTTAGCAAATGGCTTCTGGAAATCCATATGGAAATAGACTGAAGAGTTCAAGAGAACTTACAGGAACTCTTAGTAACAACAGATAAGGAATCAGGAGTGCAACAGGGCAGTTTCTAATCCGTACACAGTTTACTGAAGAACAATATTATGTATGGTTGTTATTCAGGCCTCGTAGCTCCTGGGATGACCACAGCCATGGTAGTCTTTATGCAGGACTAACAGGAAAGCAATAGGTGTCATCTCTTATATTTAACTGCTGAAACAATACTTTTGCAGATTGTAATTTTCTTTATGTTGTTCCCCACCCCACATCTTGTTTTACTGAGGAAAGGTGTCAAGATTTGTACATTGTATGTGAAGCGCATCACTGTCCTGTTGCTCACTGTCTTTTAGCACTGGCCACAGCTGCTCTCAGATCCCCTCCCTCTGGGAAAATTTCAATTCCCAGCACAGCTCTCACAGACAAAATATGTATCAGTATGTGGAGAGTCAGCTCTGTGCCGAAGGAGTGACAGTGGGTGGAGGGGGAGAGAAGAAAACCTCCTGTGAAAAGGAAAAGGTGCCTGTCTGTGGGGGATTTTTGTTTTGTTTTGGTTCAAAAGAACCAAACAGTGTTGCATCTTCTAATTTTGAAAAGGCCTTAAAGAAAAGCAAGCACTGCCTCATGCCCAACTCTACTTGCCAGAGCATGATGCTACGAAATTAGCAAGAGAAATCAGTCTGCCTGCTCATAATTGGTACAAGCGGAGGTCTAGAATAAACTACCTCTGCTTAAAATACATTTTTCTGTGGTAGAGAAAAGAAAATGGATGGTCTAGGACTAGCTGAACTGTAGGTACCCTATGGAGTGGAAATTCAGAGTAAGTGTTGCTTAAGAGTTAACTCCTGAAATATTTCATAGCAAAAATAATGGACAAAAAGGAAAGCTGAATGTACATTATATACTTGTATATATACATATATACCTGTACAGGTTTTATGTTAAAAGTCTTGGATCACAGGATTCTGTTTTGTTTACACTGCCTCCTATTTACATTTTAACTAAATACAGCAATGCCATAAAAGTCCTGGTTGTTTCCTCCAATCCACCTGCAGTTGCCCCATGCCTGTGAAAGTAATTTCTTACTCACATGTGTCAACTTCCTCTTTCTTCCAGTGAGAGTGCAGGGAATTAGCATTACGATTTTGGTGGTTTCTGCAGTTTTGAGGACTGAACTGCACCATGTCATGGTGTGCATCTCCTGCATCACAAAAAGAGGGAGTCTGGATTGCCTTTAGCAGAGGATGTGAGCAAGACTGAGTCGCTCATCGTTACCAGGATCGCTCGTCAGGAATAGACCTGCAGCTTTTGTTTTTTGTTTTTGTTTTGGGATTTTTTGTTTGTTTGTTTTTTTAGTTGGGTTTTTTTCCTTTATTGAAGATAGGGAAAAGTGTAATTTCTCAATGGAATTCAGTTCAGTGAGAAATAGCTTTAAATGAACAATTTGAGCTTGAAATTTGTTTTAGACTTGCTTCAATTGGTGCTTTTCCACTGAAGAAAACATGTGTGCAGCACACCAGCCTAAAAGAGAAATATTTTCTTAGTGATCTTATTTATGAACTTCTTGCCTGCGTACTAATACATAGTTAGCCATTAACCTAATGTGCTAGAATGAAAAAGTTTTTTTGTGGCTAGTATAAATTGTTTCTTTACTTCTGAATATTATTTCAAAGTGGTGAGGAAGAAGAGTACTAAGAGAGAAGAGAACCGATGATGCGTGTTACTAGGAAAGTGTGTGTGGGGAGGTGTGTTTGCAAAAATAGAGGAGGGGAGTGGGAATTTCCAGATATGATTAAGAATTGAACAATAGATAATCAAAATATGGCTTGTGCTGTGCTGTCAGCATGGTGGTGGGAGCAGCAGGAGCATGCAAGGCAGAATTGCAGCTTTTCTTTGCAGCAAGGGCTTAGATCAGTTTGAGTTAATCATTAAATGGGTGCCCTTCTTCTCTCATTATTATAAATGCTTGTTTCTGCTGTTTTCTGCATGTATAAATCCCACCTTCCTGGCTTGCTTTGTACCCAGTTGGTTTTGTTCTTAGCTGCTGGTTTATTGATGCTGTGGCTCATCTTTTTCTCCTTGAGAGAGCTGTATTGCTGACTGCAAAGCCTCTTTTTTCTTAGGTTTTAGTTCTGAAACCAGTGTTTGCTCTTGTCAAGTTTTGTTCCTTTTTCCTGTTGCAGTATCTCATGCTTTTTTATACACATCAATGTTAAAAAGCACATAGGTCAGTTCAGCTGCCCTGTAAATGATTAAACAGTATTTGCTGTCAAAGTTAAACAGTTAACTAGATTTTTGTGAGTTTTTCCTGGCTCTTAACCACAAATTCAGGGAGGTAGGTGTGGCATCGCTAGAAATAAGTTTTATATGCAATCCAGAAAGACCAAGACATGCTTCCCTCCTCGTCCCGTTGTGATTTAAGTAGCCTTTTTCACATGGCAAATAATTTCATTCACTTCAGCTTATCACAGTTACTGTTGTCCTAATGTACAAAACATTTAACACTGGTCTGTTTTACTGTCAAATAAGTGGTCCTGGTACTGGGGACTTTATTTTAAGAGGAAAAAAAGAAGCAAACCACCACACTACAACACAAGAAACTGCAGGAACATAAAATTGCCATTTCGTTCTGATTTTTCCAGTCCATTGACAGTTTCCGGTAATGGCCAATGCTGGAAACCCTGAAGGTGGTAATCATGAAACAACCTGATTACATTGCTCATGCAAAACTTGGAATTTCCATTGAAACATTGACTTCTTTTCTCCGATAAACAAGTGAAAACAAATCCAGAGCCTTTTTTTCACCTGTCCTTTGAGAAAGGAGAGGGAGAGGTATTAAACAATCCTAAGTATATGTTGTTGTTCTTGTTGTCATTATTATTTTTTCCTTTTTAACAAAAGTCTTTGCTCTTGAGGTTTCTCAGTGGCATTCACAGGCCAGCTGTATGGTAGAATGGTGTAGGAATATTTCTTTTATTGAATTGAAAACAGCTTCCTCTTCATCAGTGTGTGAATGACTGCCTTTTTGAACTGTGGCTCCTGAAAGGGTCAAGAAAAGACACATCTGCCACTCTGCTGTGTGCTATCCCCCTCAGATTGCTTGAACGCTTCGCTTTTTCTAATCATGGCACTTGTTACTGTAGTTTTTGAAAAAAAGGCACTAACAGCATTGTCATTGTTTCAGGGTGACTTGGACAGACAGAATGGGTGCAGTAATTTCTGTGCATTAAAGTGGTGTGGACATATGTACACATCAGTACCTGAGCAGAAACTGCCAGATAGTGGAGACTTGACGTATCCTGATCTGCGGCCCCTGGAGAGCATTGGGGTTTCTTGGGAGGAGCATAATGAGGAAATTGGCAGTGGTGCATAAAAATTATGCTCGCAAGACTGTACTGCATCATTTCTGAAGGGTCACACGATCTCAGCTTTCTGTAGTCTTAAGAAGGCTCTTCTGCACCAGACTTCCTAGATGTTAAATATGAATGAGTTATCCTGACGTCTGGCTCGCTGGAATTAATTTCACTTAGACTTGTCTTATTTTTGCCAACTTGCAGATGCTTTGGGACGTGCATATACGGTTGGTAGAGGGGGGCTGATAAAAATGGACAAAAACTGTTCCTATGTTGACTGCCTATTCAGAGTGAGAGAGCGAACAAAGGGAGGGATGGAAGGAGGTCACTCCAGCACTTCTTAACCAAGGTGGGGGAGAGGATAGTTAGGAATAGGAATAGAGGATAGTTAAGATAGTCTGTGGGTGAGAATTAAGGGGCAGG